ACGAAAGGTGGATAGACAAAGATGGGTTTGACAAACTGTTAGGGAAGCTTGGATCACTCCAGTCACAGGCACCCCTTTTTTAAACTAAAAGAAAAAATCAGGCATACTAGGATTGCATTGCTTAAATGGAGTTCCTCCTTTCAAACTCAGAACTAGACACTCATTATAGAACTCACTCAAAAGATGGAGGATCTGAATACTCATAAGTCAGGAGAAAAATGGGACAGCTGGGAGTATACCAAAAGAGCTTTAAATGCAGCCCATCTTCAGGAAGAACTTTATTGGCAGCAAAAATCTAGGCAGAGATGGCTCAAGGAAGGTGATGCAAACACCAAGTTTTCCATGCATTTACTCTTCAAATGAGAAGGCAAAATGAAAAAACAAGGCTTATATCACCTCAAGGCAGAAGTTTCACTACTCAGAAAGCCATAGAAGAGCATATCTCTATTCTCATCAGAAGGCAGCTGGGGAGGAGAATCAGTTCTTCACTTAATCCCTCAGTCAATCACCACAGAAATGAATGAAGCTCTTTTGAAACCAGTCACTGAAGAAGAAGTTAAATCAGCACTATTCACATTGCCTGCAGACAAGGCCTTTGATGAGGAAGGGATGAGCTCCAGTTTTTACCAACATTTTTGGGAGCTGATTAAGCACGATCTTATGAATGCAGTTCTCAATTTCTTCACTTCAGGTATGATTCTAAAATATTGGAATCACACTATACTCTCCTTGATTCCTAAGTGCCCAAATCCAGAATCTCTTAGCCAATTCAGGCCAATAAGTTTGTGTATTGTGATATATAAAGTCATTTCCAAAGTGTTGGCTCAGAGATTAAAAGCTTGTCTGAATTCTTGTATAAGTGATCATCAATCTGCCTTTGAAGGAAGACAGCTTATGGATAATGTTATTGTTGCTCAGGAAGCTTTCCATTTCTTGAATAGGCACTCCTCTGGCCATAACTTCTTCATGGCAATAAAATTAGATTTGATAAAAGCCTTTGACCTTGTTGAATGGTTGAGTATTCAAAGAATAATGTTGCAGATGAGTTTTCACCTAGATTTTGTCAAGCTAATTTTAATGTGCATTTCTATTGCCTCTTTTTCTTTTAAAATTAATGGTGCAGTCAGTGGATTTGTTAATCCTACCAGGGGAATCAGACAAGGGGACATACTGTCCCTTTATCTGTTCATAATTGTGCAAAATTACTCACTGCCCTCATTCTTCAATCTGTTGAAAGAGGTCATCTGAAAGGGCTTAAACTCTCCAGGAATGGTCCATTGCTCACTCACCTGTTGTTTGTAGATGACTCCTTATCTTTTCCAGAGCAGGGGTGGATCAGGCTGCAATTATAATGGCCATTCTTGAAATATATAGGCTTTTCACAGGACAATCAGTGAATTTACAGAAATCTGCTATTTTCTTTAGTAGAAACACTCCACAGCATCTCCAGCAATCCATATGTGCAGCTCTCAATGGTATTGTTTCCCACAGATCTACCAGATACTTGGGACTGCCTCTTGGAATTGGTAACGCAAAAAAGGAAGTGTTTTCATATCTTCTAACTTCTGTCAAAAGCAAGCTGCAAAATTGGAAGGAAAAGCTCCTTAGCCCTGCTGGCAAGGAAGTCCTTATCAAAGCCATCATTCAAGCATTGCCAATCTTCACAATGTCATGCTTTAAGCTTCCTTTGACACTATGTTATGAGATTTCTCAACTCTGTGCAAACTTTTGGTGGCAATCAGGAGACCAGCAGTCCGGAGGAATCCATTGGAAAAAGTGGTGCCTACTTTCTTTACCTAAAAAGATGGAGGGCTCGGTTTCCTTGACTTGCAGCTTTTCAATCAAGCACTAATTTGCAAGCAGTTATGGAGAGTAGCTTCTCATCCTGAACTTTTGGTCAACAGACTCCTAAAAGACAGATACTTTCCTGACACAGCAATAACTCATGCAACCAAATCAGCCAAAGAATCTTGGATGTGGAATTGTTGGATGGAGGTGATGCCCTTTTTCTCTAAATGGCTGAAAATAAAGATCAGGAATGGTGTTGCTACAAAGATAGCTAATTTGAATTGGATCCCAACCCTTCAGAAACCATCACCAACACTTATGCCTTTAGCCAGCGACCATCTCATTTGGGTAAAAGATCTTTTGAATGCCAATGGTCTGTCATGGAATGAATGGTTAGTGCAGCAGGTATTTGACCCTGAAGACAGTGCAGCCATTCTCAGCATTACCTCACTTCACCCAGACAGAGCAGACAGACTATATTGGGGATTGGAAAAGAAAGGTTAGGTCTCTAAGACTTATCAATTGTTATCCTCAATAAAGTTGTCTCGATTAGATATTCCAGAATCTAGCTCTAGCTCATCCATTAGCAAGTCTGTACAAACTAGACATTGGAAGTTGAAAATTGCTAGGAAACTGAAGCACTTTCTTTGGAAGTGTATAGCTGGTACATTACCTGTGGCAAACCTCTCTAAGAAAAGAAACGTTGACATTGATCATATTTGTTCAATATGTGGTGAAGCTTCAGAAACAATAGACCATGTTCTTCTGTCATGCCCTAGAGCTTGCAAATTTTGTGACATCTCACCTGTGACCTGGAATAGCTCTCAAGGCAGTACTGAATCTTTTAAACACTGGTGGTACAACATTTGTTCACTTGATCATTCTGAAGTTGCTGAAGCAAGGATACAACTTTCAACATATATCCTTTGGTGGATTTGGAAATCAAGGAACCTGTGGGTGTTTCAAAACTCTCTCATGCCAGAAACAAAAGTCATAAAAATGGCTCTCTCAGACTGGAATCAATTTGCAGCAGCCTCATGATTTAGTTTCAGTTTTTGATTGTCCTTATTGTATTTTATATTTGAGATCAACTTCCTCGCTAAGCCTTTGGCAGTAGAAGGTAGTTGATTTCTTAGTGCTTATGTTTTCTTCCATTCTGTTGTTTTCAGTTCCTCATGTTGAGGCTCTAGAGACCACTTTAGGGTGTGTCTCCCATTTTTTTCTTTGCGATTTATTGATGTACTCTGAACCGTGTATTAGGANATCTTTCTTTTTTTTTTTCTACCAATAGACTGATGAAGCAGTTAACCATAGTGTTTTGAAGGACACATCGCACAACGTTTCTATCAACCAATCTGATGGTGATGATGACACCTTCCCTCTCAAGAATACTCAAGTTCTAGCCGAAATTGATAGGGCTACTGAAGCAAGAACAAAAAGTCGATCAACCGACAAGGGGAAGGTTTAAAAAATACACACTATATTTTTTTTGTTTTCGTTGATATACAATAAACATATATTAGATATACATATACATAATATTAATGTCCTTCATTTAAACAACATTCATTTTTTATTTTTATTCTATATAATCTAATAATTTACATTGCAGTTCGAAAATTGACGAATTGATTTATGATTTTAATATCATTTATACTTGATCCTCGAAATAATTCTTTACCTATATATTTATATTTTTTAGCATTAATATTTTTGACCCATGAAAGATAAATATACTAATTAATATTTTTGATTATTTTATACTAAATACATTTTACAATACATATATTTATAATTGTACGAATAACTTTCAACTTATTTCTTATTTTTAAATTAGATTTAATAATAAATTTAAGTTCATTTTATCTAAGCAATATTAACAAATATTTTTAAGATAGTAAAATACAAGTTAATTTAAATATGTAAAAAATGAATAACAAATACAAATGTTATTAAGTTTCAAGTTTTTAAACGAGAATGACACTAATACTTAATAAGAAAAATAGAAAAATAAAAAACAGATAACAATATGAAAACTAAATAGGAAAAAAATCATAGTATGAAGTTTCTTCTTCTATGAGTTTCAAGAAATATTTTAAAGTTTTTTTTATCTAATATACAAATAATTGGAGCAATTAATCCTTAACCATATACATAAATTATATTTTCCAATTCAAATAAAATTCTTTCTTAGGTACAAACTGAATAAATGATTGTAAATTTTAGAAATGTTTAATATGAAATTATTGATATCACGTACTAAAAGTAAAAATAGATTAAGTTGAAATAAAATAATATTTAATTTTTATAAAAAAGAGTTAATAAATAGATTCAACTCAATTATTGATATCACATTGCCTAAAATAAAAATAAAAGTCTCACCATGAATGGTAGAAAAAATACCAAAAGGAAAAACAAAAGAAAGAAAATGTTTTAAACAATTTCAATATTAAGGGTGTATCCTTTTGAGATTCCAGCGAAATTTTTGCGACTTTTTGAGATTTGAGACTTTTAACGATTTTTAGATTTATGAGAAATCTTATGAAATCTTAAGTATAGAGGTGAGATTTAGCAAACCGTTAAAAGTCTCAACAAATCAAAGTTTCAAATATGATAAATACCTCAAAATTCTGTAAGACTTTTTAAAATCTCAAATGAATACTTCGAGATTTTTAAAATTTTTAAAAAGTCTAAATTAAATACAAATTATTTCTGAAATTTTTAAAAAATCTTAAAAAAATTCCAAACGAATACACCTAAGTACGCAAATTAATTGTTTTTTTACGAAAAACCTATACTATTCCTAGTAAATATAATTTTTATATATATATAGATACAGATTTCAATGCTATGATTTTTAGTAAAAAGAGATCAAGAATAGGGTGTGGAGTGTGTACTAGTAATTTAATTATATAAAATAGAATTTATATTTAAAATTGATTTTATTCCGCTTAATATTATTAATATGCCCGTTAATTCTTACTCGCAAAGCATTAAAATTTTAGAATTAAGAGTATACTTATATGAGTAGATAGACACATAATTTAAAATAAAATGTGTACGTGGAAGCAGGAATTGGAGCACGAGCAGCATGCAAAGCTCCCCTCCTCCACCTGGCCAACACCTCCAAACAACTCTTTCTCTTACGCCACGTGCGCAACATGCACCTTTTATATATTCTCCCACACACATCCCTCTCATTAATTAGTTAATCAATCTTGTGAGTTTAGTTGAAAGATGACGAGGTACTTCACAGCGCTAACGGCCACTCTGTTGGTTCTCCTCGCGTTCTCAGCCGTGAAGGCATTGGGCTCATGCGGTGAGGAAATCAAGAGCCAGAGGCTGAGTTCGTGCAGTGAGTACCTGAGAGATAGCAGCCGATTTGATGAGTCGGAAAGCGGGTGGCGAGAGGAGTTTCCCAGGTGCTGTGAGGAGCTGGAGCAGATTAATGAGCAATGCAGGTGCCAAGCACTAAGCCAGGTAAGTACTCTTTTGTTTTTTTGGGCAATTGGTATTATTATATTGAATTTGAAAATAAACATGCATGTGTTTTTATTTTATTTGACAAGTAATAAGTAAAGTTAATTAATGGGAACAGGTGACTCAACAGCAAATGGTCCAGGGAAGAGAGAAGCAAGAGATGTTGAGAACAGCACAGAGTTTGACCAGCTTGTGCCGTATCCCACCTCAATCCTGTGAAATCCAGCTGCGCGGTCTTAATGCATTTTCAGTCTAGTATCTCTAGTAAATAACAAGTTGGGCTTTAACGATGGCCCTGCATGCAGCCTGCTTGAATTATTAATAAAAACGTCCTCGGCCCACTATTGTTTGGTGTGCAGGCTTAATAATGATATTGCTCCTTTTTCTCTCCTTAAAAGTCTGGGTTTCGAAAATTAAAATGAAAAGTTCATAATTTAATTAATGATCGATGACTTGTGTTAAATTAACTCACACAAGTGTACGTCTAATCTGTATTTGAAGATAAGGTTAAATTAGATGTTTAAGATTTTGACATACAAAAAATACTAGACATTAGCGTAGTGATAATGTATAATCTCACGTCCTCCTTAGCGCTCCGACATACTCTATGCCGCAGACGCCTTTGCGGCAACGCCTGGAAAACAGACACCTTGGGTAGATTCTCGTTTAAGTTATAATGGGTTGTAGGGTAGCAGTTGTAGATGCTACAAACTGGGTAGATTTTCGTTTAAGTTATAATGGGTTGTAGGGTAGCGGTTGTAGATGCTACAAACTTGGTGTCGATTACAATGGAAAACATATGATCTAAAGCAGAAGTTTTTAGTTCTTACAATTTGAACTATAAAAACAAAAAGAACGTTATATTTAAAATTGGACAAACAAGTCAAAATTACATATAAAATTGGAAAAACAAGTAGAGATACAAGTGTTGACTTTTCCCATGATGAATATGTCTCGTAATTGCTGACGGGTTCAGGCGTCTCGTTCTCAAAAATACAATGGTTTATGTCGTTCTCAAAGATACAATGGTTTATGTCTCGAAGGTTGTAGTACACCAACTTTCACGTTTCGGCAAATCTAAAGAGCGATATGTATAATTGAGGCTACGTGAGGCTACGAGAGACTGCAAGGATGCAGATGAGATTATTATTCTTCTGTAGTTCTAGACATGTTCTATATATAGGACTTTCAGGCAGCAAGGGTCATCATTTCTGGTCTTCATCAATTTAAGGCATGAAACAACCAACTAATGGTTATTGTAAGTGGGGAAAACGGTCAGGTACTAAGCATGTCGTTTTTATGCCGTTTTTAGGTGTTAACACACTATCAATCCACCTGATAACCACCGTATCAATTCACCTGATAACCACCAAAACGGTGTCACCTGGAAAGGTCATCGGTTCGGAACTTGGAAAGGTCATCGGTTCGGTCAAAACTCGAGTTCAAAACCCAACTCAGTTTTGGTTTTATTTTGGATTTAAATTTGGATCACAAAATAGTAAATAAAATTGCACTGATGAAAAAGATATATTCAATGAAAAAGATATATATTGGTTGGGGCCTTTAGCCCAGACTGTCCAAAGCCGTCCAAGTCCAGTCCATTGTTCAATTGTCAAGTAACAATAGTACCAAGGCCTAAGACCCGAATCCAGGCCCGAGTGCGTGCCGATGCTCGTGTCGGGCTGGCTGACCGGCATGTGCGCGCGCATTTGGCTGATGTCAACACCAACATTTGGTACGACCTTTTCAACTCTCTTTATTATAATAAAGAGTTAAATCTCATTTAAGCGTTCTATGTGGAAAAGAACTCTTGACCCTTTGAATCTCACAACCGTCATTTTATGTGCTCATGGTTTTTTTTGGCCGAAACGATAGATAATTTTATAAATCAAAATGCACAAATGTGCTAAAACACAGCAGCCAACAGCTGAAAAAGTGGGAGGACAGGTCAGAAGCCTACCTAGAATCCCGACTAGCAACGCTAGAATAAAAAACACACTCACAACTAAACTAACCAACAACACAAACAACTAGAACAACTACAAGGACCCCAACAGGGTAATACCCGAGTGTCGGACCCCAAAGGAGTAATCAATTTGACACTCGGGCTCACAGGGGCCAACGGCCCAAACTAAAAACACAAAACACAAACAACACAAGACAAACACAACCACAGAAACTACAAACAATAGACAAGAACACAAATGACTAATAACCAAGACTAAAAGCCCTTCCCCGATAAACGAACTAGCCCAAACCAACAGTGTCCGATCGACAGAAGACAAATCCAGGCCAAGCCACTGCTACCGAAACTGCAATCAAGCCTATACAGTAGCGGAAACCAAGGCCCGAACCAATCTCCGAATCGACCGTCTACAACCGAGCGAACAAACACCAGCCCCCACCCCAGCCCCACCCGAACCCGTCTAACACCACTAGCCGAGCTCGGGAGAGCCAGGACCCCCGCCGCCTAACACCACTAGCCGACCGGGAAGGGAAGAAGAGGTCCATTTCGCTACTCCGGCAACCACGGCGAAGGACTCGCTCCACCAAGACGCTGCCAAAGCCCCACCTCGCAACAAGCCCACACACCTCGCCACCGCCAACAGCCGCCGGCGACTTGAGGCCGAAATCCACCCGCAGCTCCACCGGAACAGGCGAAGCCAATCGGGAAGGACCCGTAGATCGCAGACCAGATACAGGTAGCCAGGGAACCTGCCGGCGACGACGACCACCTGCCGGCGACCGAAACGCTGACCATCCTCCGCCTAGGATCGAGCACCCGTCTGGAGCCACTGGTCGACCTGCCATCTCCGATCACCCGCAGCAGAAATCGAGGAGTGCCGGTCAGAAGCGGTGTGGGCCGTTGAAGACGACCATCGGCCGGAGCAGAGCAGTCGCCGGGGAAGGCCGACTGTCACGATTCTTGAAGTTGCGGCGGATGGATTTGAATCTATATATTTTTTTTTTCTTACAGTAATATGCAAATTAGTGTAAAATATAAACCACAAAACAAACAACAATATGTGCTCATGGTTAACTTTAATCATTTATTTTTCACTTATCAAAACATTGCTTTGAGAAGAAAAAAAATATATCGCGAATATCTACTCGTTGAATTTTTCTACACAATTTATTCAATTCAAATTAAATATTTAGCCATAAAAAATCATTCAAAATCGGGTCAAAATCAAGTTTTTATAATTGATATTCCAACAATCCCCTACATGACTGGAAACCAAATGTATGCATGAGATATATGATACTATGCCCAGAAGAGCGAACCGGTCCAGCAAGCCGGACAAATAAACCGAACAATTCAACCTGGTCGAAGAGAGTCCGAACAGGGTGGTTGTGGTCGAATGTCACGAGGACATCAGCGTTTGGATTGGAAGGTTGGTTGATTATGAAGTGATAATAACACACATTTTTTACTTATGTTTCCAATGTGGAATATGTTCCTTTGCTGAAATTATTGGGCCGTACAAGAAAGATTGTACTCATTAAAAAGAATGTACTATTTTTTAAATTAGACTATCTATTGGGCTATATCTATACTCATTTATTAAAAAGGAAAGAAGCAATTTATTGTTGTTTGTTATGCACATTATTTTTATTTTTTATTTTTTAATCAATAATAAAAAAAGTTTAAAATGTGATTTAAAAATGAAAATAAGGTTGTTTCTATTCTCTTTATTTTTTAACTTAAATATAGATTAAAATTTAAATATAAAAAATAAAATTAAACAAAGTTATCAACATTGTTCTACATTGTCGGTTGTATCTATTATTGAACTATTATTTAGAGAAATATCATAAACTATAAAATTAATTATAAAAATATATATAATCATATATTATACATATAAAATAAATAAAAAATTATATATTAATTAAACTGGTTCGACTGATTTGACACTGGCCCGACTAGTGAACCATTGAACCAGTAACTTCACCAGTTCGATGACAGGTTCAGTTTTCATGAAAAATATATCTAATGTAAGAACATCTCCAACGGTGAGAATGAATGGTAGCCTAAATTGATGGCTTTCTATTCACGTGGACTGAATGGAGTTTCATGTTGATAAATAACTCTCCAATGGTTTATTTCTAAATGTTATGGCACGTACTTTTTTTTTCTTTCTTTTATTGTTCTAAACACTGGTACAAAAATGTTCAACAAACTTTAGATTTAGTTAACGCCATGTTTTTGTAAGACTATCATCATCAACACTTCTTTTTTATTTTTTTGACAAAATATATACCATTATATTTCTAAAATAATTTTAAAAGTGTATCAATATTTTATTTTTTTTACGTAAATTAATATGTTTTATATATAAATAAATACCAACAAGTTATAATTTAATCAACGCCATTATTTTTGTAAGAGCATCTACTGTAGCCAATATTTTTGTAAGAGCAGCTGCTATCACCATCAACACCGTATTACTGTATCTGTACTACACCAGATTTTGTGGTCTTTTTTATTTTTTATTTTTTTTTTTGACAAAATACCATTATATTTATAACACCATTACTGCACTACACCAGATTTTATGATTTTTTTTTTTTTGACAAAATATATACCATTATATTTATAATATAATTTTAGAAATGTATCAATTTTTTATTTTATATTCTTTTTGTATAAAGCAATATGCTTTGTGATAAAGTGAATACTTTAGTAAATACTAATTACATCTTTTAGTAAATGAATAAATTTTATATAAATATTGTTATGTCTATTTAACCTAATTATATATTGTAATTAACAATAAAGGAAAAAAGTGAAGAAAAATGTGACTCATCAGTCTGAAAGAGCCTTCAGATGTAGAAAGAGTTTTAGAATTATTCTGTCTGTTTCATGCCATTTTATTTGCCTAAGGGTATGTTTGTTAAAGAATATACTCAAATCAAATTAATTCTACTCAAAATTTAACTCAACTTTAACTCAACTCCACTATCCTCAATATTATCAATATAATTAAATAATAACAACCAATTATTAAATAGTAATAACCAATTATTTTTACACATCATATCAACTTTAATTCACTATTCATCCACTCACATAATTTTAACTAATCATCACATCATATCATGTCTCTTCTACTTTTACATCAAACAAATTTTAAATCAATATTATTTTAATATAAACTCAAAATCCCACTAACAACTAATTACACCACTTTTTCACAATTAACCCTATTTAACTCTAAAAAATTCACTTTGAGTTAATTCACTCAAATTATTCCTTTAACAAACATACCCTAGGTGTTTGTGCTTAATTGGAAATTATGTTGCCTTAGCTATTTAGTTTCAAAACTTCCTAAGTTATGTGTATTCTCGGCCTTTTTAAGCCAAGCAAGCCCAATGATCACCCCAAGATCTGGCCTAGTACTTTTAATTTTTGAAACCAAGAGCCATTTTGTGCCTTTAATTCGGGCCAATTACCAAGCAAAATACCTAAAACATTCCGCCCAAGTCCACCCCTTCTCTCTCGGCCAAGAATCGCAGCAGCTCCCACACGAAGTCAGTCGCCAGCAGGCCCTATCGTTTTCCCCCAAATTTCTCGGCTCCTCTCCCCGATCTCTCTCTCGCAATTTGCAGCAGCAACGGGAGAATTTCTCCCTTTTTTTCTAGATCAAGTTGCAACAGATTTAACCCTCGAGTCCTCGACCTCTAAGAACGATCGAAGCCCTTATACCCTCGCCTCATCTCCTCTCTTTGAGCCGCCGTCCCTTCTCTTCTCCATTCCATACTCCGACATTCAGAGCTTCGACCAGCAACCGCTTCGTCCGACCACTAGCAGCGAGTCGGAAACCTCGACCCTCGATTCCGACAGACGGCGACCCTTAATATTTGACGACCGGCGACGCGAGGCAGGTGAACCGCGAACAAGCGGCAGCGGCGGAGCTTTTTCCGACGTCGAGCTGCGATCCGACTTTCGACCTCCAGGCGTGACGACGAACCCCGACCGAGGGCCACCAGATTTCCGGCGAGGCGAGCACACGGCAAAGAGCTGGCCCTATGCGAGAGTAGGCGGTCTGCGACTGAAGCAGTTCTCCGAGCACCCGAGGCCGAGCTTTTACCAGCGGCTGAGTAAAACCGAGCACACCCGGCTGAACCAAGCCTCCGGCAATCAGAAAGCCAGAAATTTCCAGCGCCGAGATTTGTCCGGAAGCCGTAGCAGGCTGCAGCAAGCGGAGCGCTTTTCGAGAGCCCTTCAACCAGAAACGGAGCCACCTTCTTTTCCATTTTAAATCTCGTAACAGGTACCTTCGACTGAGCCGAATTTATTCCTGTTTTGGCCGAGACTTTGAGATGTTTTATATGGCATTTATATGCTGGAAATTATTGTTGAAGCACCAGATTTTACGTTCAGTTATATGCCCTATTGATGTGTTTTGTTCTGTTATAATTCTATAAAGTGACATTTGAGAGGTGAAGGATTAGGGACTGAGGCGCTTAGGGATTGATTGTATATTTAAACTTCTTCAATATCTTTGGATGGTTAGTTACTTTGCTGAAATTGGGAAATATCATATGTTTATTTTTATTTTTTAGGAAAAAGAGGTTTTGTGTGATTTGTATGAATTGAGATAATTGAATGCTGTGTTTTGTTTATGTATGAAGGATAAATCTATAGAAATATACATTTTATCTCCATGATTTTGTTGATGATAGATAAAATTTTCAGATTTCCATTTTATATGTTTTTTCTACGTTAAAAAAACCTTAAATCTATTGCAACTTTGAGGCCGGCCCTGGCCACATGTTTGACCAAATGTTCCTCAGGGAAGTATAGTGTTTAAATTGTTTGCCCCTGCAGCCATGGATGAGGATATGTCTAATTCACTACGGCGGATGTCCATGCGAACTCGTAAGGTTGCTCCTAAAATGGCTGCGGCACTCGCGAGCAGTGATAATCGGACTCAGGTGAGTTGAGTGGTGCAAATATTCCTTTTTTGTTTTTTTTGCTCCTTTTCTTTTCAATTGTTTTCTGCATGTGGAAGTTGGTCTTATCTGAGCAGAGGATTAATCAATTGTGGACAGGCAATGCTTGCTCGTCTTGAAGCTCTGGAGAATGATAATGCTGGCCTGGAGACAGTGGACGAGGATGACGAAGCCTCCCTTGATGATGATGATCAAGGTCGTTTGCCTTGTGGTTATTTTGTTAATGATTGAACAAATGAGGTGTAACCAATAACAACGAACGCAAATGCAAACATTTATGCAAGATAGACTAATTTTAAGTAATTTTTTGCTCGCTGAAGATTTTGCTCTGTGACAATGTTTATTTGGGGTGATGGGGGGTGGGAAAGAAGAATTTGACAAGTGAAACCAAGATACAAGAAGAAGCTTTTCATTGGTAATTATTTGCTTTGAATTATGCAACTATTCATGCTTGTTCCAACGAAAAATAGATAGCGTGCATTGAGAAAAAGCGCTCTAGATAAACATTTCTGTACATTTTTGTCATGTGTATAAAGTGTTTTTCCTTATATAAATACTTCAAGGTCAGTTTTTTTTTACTGATCTTGTATGGGCATTTGTACACCATATCTTTTCTTCCAGCATGGGTTTTAGCTATTTTTATTTTAGTAGTGCTAATCATTTTCTGAAACATTGTTAGCTGTTAAGTTTATTTATTTGTTTTGTTTTGACGGTCCTCTTACATTTTACCACCTTCCCTTTCTATCCAAGGAACACTTAGTTTGAGATGTTTGAATGCATGGAAGTTTATGTTTACATGGCAGAGTAACCTGTTAATGTAGGATGTTTAATTGAAAGGCAAATGAGAACGTATAGTCCATAGTCCTTTTGATCATGCGCAAGTTAGAGGTATTTATGAACATCACAGGTACAAATGCATTTCGTCGTTAGTTTTTAACAAACTGTACGTGAGTTTCATTTGCATTCACTTTTTGTTCATTTCTCGACTTTTTGTCCCAAGCTCTATAATTTCTCTTAGGATCTTTTCCCATGGTAATTGCATCATTACTGATTATCGATCCTGTCATGTGCTATATCACGCAGCGTACCTGAAAAAGCAAAGCAAAAGCACAAAACGCAAAACACGTCAAGCAAAAGCACTTGAGAATGCCAAGAAGGCCCCGAGAACATTCCTTGAGCTCTTGCAGGAGGTAAAAGGCCAGATGACACTAGATTAGAGATTAGAGTCTAGTTTTCCTGCTTTCTAAGTGATACCAGATATTAATTCATTTTTTGTTGACCTCAATTACCAATTATAAATGGCTCTCTTGTTTAAATCAGGCTAACCTGGAATCATTGCCTCCTCATGTACCGACTTACTTGAGAGCAGCTGTTGGGCCCCCGAGTTCCACAGCTCGTCGCCATTTCTGTACAGTCTGCGGGTTCTCTTCAAACTATACGTGCGTGCAGTGTGGGATGCGCTTCTGTTCAATTCGGTGCCAGAATATCCATAACGATACTCGTTGTCTAAAGTTTGTTGCTTGATTAACCTAAAATTCATTGTCTGATGTTGCGGTTACTTGAGGAATCCAGCCTGGAATTAGGATATAACTCCTAATATTTCTTAGCCAACAAATTATGCAAATATTTCATGATTAACAAAATTTGCTCTAAAAGTACTCCACGTCTACGGTCCGCACTTGGTGTTACTATTCCGGACATGACATGATAGCATGACATCACTCGAGAAAGATATGTGAATAATGGGTTATTGTTAACCTTCATTATGTCTCTCCTACTTATGTCAACTTTTAGTATTTTGTAATTCTATAATTTGTATGTCTATTTTTTATGTTTCATAATTTTATATATCGATTTTTGGTGTTCCGTGATTCTATGTGTCAATTAATGGTGTTCTGGATTTATCCATATTGATCTGGAATTCTGGTTATTGATCTGGAATTCTGATTATGCCTATTAGATTTTTAAAATTATAAAATACTTGAGTAAGTTAAATTATAAATATATATATTTTTTTTTTCGCAACGCTAAGAATTGAAATATATAACACAATAAAAGGTCTTACAAAGCCGAACATCCAACTGGATGCAATTAGAGCCTACACTAATCCACAAAGATTAGAGCAACCCAACCCGGGAGCTTCCCTAGTCATCTCTCTGTAAAGCCAACCAGGCCAGTCTATCACAAGAATAACACAAATCCGCACCTATCTTGAAAGAACAGTGCAACAATGAAGAGGCTAAGCGTTTAATATCCATAACTACAGATTTAAACTCAATTAAACTCTCAGCCTGTGAGATTAACCCGCACAATTTCTCTGGCTTCTTGACACAGCACACAAAGTTTGACATCCCATTCAACAGAGCAATTTCCATTCCCCATCTTATCCCCTTTAGTTCAGCATCTTCTTCACTCGATGAGGAGTCTTTCACATGTACCCAGGTTTTGATCAACTTTGTGCCATTATATACAATGCAGCCCATGCCAACTTTTCCTTCAAAACTCCTTAGAGCACTGACAGCAAAAATGCACTGTCCTACTCCAGCTGAAACACTGTCCATTTCATTTAAAGAATTCCTCGAACAAAGAACCAGCTCATAATTCTCCTTGTATGTTGCTGCTAAAAATTCTCCCCACCCTTCCTGAGCGTTAGCTACAATCTTCTCTTCAGAAGTCCACAATTTGTTGAAAACCCAAGCATTTCTAGCCTTCCAGATTTCCCACATGATATAGGCAGATAGACACAACCTTTCACACTTGAAGTTACCTTTGATTCCAACTGAAATTGTGAACCACCAGTCTCTGATATTCGTATGTTGCGCATCAAATTGAGTCCATTGTACCCCACTTAATTTCCAGCATCTAGCAGCTTTAACACAATGAATGAGGGCATGACTGAGAGTTTCATCTTCTAATCCACACCAATCACAAATACTATCCACATTAACTCCTTTTCTTCTCAGCTGAGTTTTAACTCCAATAAATTCATAGCAACACCTCCACAGAAATGTCTTTATTTTGTTTAAAATTGGCAATTTCTACAAAAGACTCCATATCTTTTCCAGATTGCTGATGTTGTTACTAGAGCTGGCCTCACCTTGACATTTATTTAGTTTGTTTTTCATAATGGTTGTATAGACTGCCTTAACAGAGAAAACTCCTGCTGGGCTGCCATGCCAAACCAATTTGTCCTTAGTACCAGCCCTTCTGATTGGAATGGATATGATTAGATCTGCATCATAAGGAGAAAATGATTGCAAAATACATTCTTTATCCCATCCCCTTTGCCCCTCTAACATAAGATCACTCACCTTCTTCAACCTAACTAAATCTCCTTGAAACTGACAAGTTGGCTTGAAATTTTTCCTCCTAAGAATCCATGGAGAATCCCAAATATCAATTGACTTACCATCTCCGACCTCATATCTCACACCTAAGAAAAAAGATTCCCTCACTCCTACCCAGCTTCTCCATAACCAAGAGTCAGTTCCTTTAGGAAGAAGATCTCTCAATTTCTTACCCCAAAAATATTTCCCTCTCAACAGCCTGCTTACTAACAAATTTGGATTAGTGTGCATTCTCCATAATTGTTTAACAAGCAAGGCATCATTGAAAGCAATTAAATCTTTAAACCCCATACCCCCCTGCTCCTTAGGCTTAGCTAAGATCTGCCATCTAGCCCAGTGAATTCTATCCACATTACTCTCATTTTGGCCCCACCAAAACTTAGCAATAATCTGATAAAGAGCCCTTACCACTGATATTGGCACTTTAAAGCATGACATAACAAATGTAGGGATAGCATTAAGAACAGAATTAATGAGTGTTGCTTTGCCAGCTTCACTTAAAAAATTGTTCTTCCAGCTTCCCAGTTTTTTTTCCACTCTCTCAATCAGAAATTTAAACACCTCTCTCTTCGATTTTCCAATCCCCAATGGTAGACCTAAGTACCTAGAAGACTTAACTTTAGTGATCCCATGCAAAATGGAGCAAATGTCAGATTGTTTATCCATAGGAGTGTTTCTGGAAAAGAAAATGGATGATTTATCCAAATTAACTAACTGACCAGAGTCATGACCATAAGAATCAAGAATATTTAAAACAAGAGAGGCATGATGTCTATCAGCTTTACAAAAAATGATGGAGTCATCTGCAAACAACAAATGAGAAATGACAGGTGCTTTAAAACCTACTTTGACTCCCTGAAATTCCCCACTCAAACAAGACTGATGAATAAGATTGGAAAAAGCTTCTGAGATCATAAAAAAAAGGTAAGGAGATAAGGGATCTCCTTGCCTTATACCACGAGAAGGTCTCGGAAACCCTTTAGGCTGACCATTAACATTAAAGGAGAAAGCACTAGAGCAGACACAAGCAAGCACCCAATCAGTGAACTTTTGACAGAAACCCATTTTTTTACACATTTTAGCTAAAAAGGACCATTCAACCCTATCGTAAGCCTTTGCCATATCTAATTTAATAGCCATAAAGCAACTCTTCCCTTTTCTTTTTTGGTTCAGGAAATGGACACATTCATTTGCAATGACAATGTTATCAATAATCTGCCTATTAGCAATAAAAGCAGCTTGAGATTGGGAAATGCACAAAGGAAGAACTACCTTAAGCCTATCAGCAATGATCTTGGCAATAACTTTATAAATCACTGAACAAAGACTAATAGGCCTATAGTCTGAAACAAATTGAGGGTTGATTTTCTTAGGGATCAAGGTTATAACTGCATGATTAAGCTTCTGAGGCATTCTGCCAGTTTCAAAAAATTCTTGGATGGCAAGACAGAAGTGTACCTTAATCACAGGCCAGGCTTTCTGGAAAAACAAAGCAGTCATTCCATCAAGTCCAGGTGCTTTGCATTGGTCCATCCCCATGACAGCTTCATGAATTTCCTCTTCCCCAACTATTCTTGTCAGCTTCTCATTCATCTCTCTGGTAATTGAAACAGGGATCCCCTCCAACATACATTGTTCATCCAAAGGTTGAGATGATCTAAATATTGAATCATAGTAGCCACTCAACTCTGTAAAAATTTCTTGCTCAGTCTCACAAGGCCTGCCCCTTTGATTGCATAATCCAACTAAGTTGTTGATGTGCCTTCTTTCCTTGACTGAGGCATGAAAATACTTTGAATTTTTGTCCCCTTCTGTCAGCCAAGTAGTTCTAGATTTCATTCTCCAGTAAGTCTCCTCATCTCTATAAGCCATCTTCAGCAAGTGTCTGCAATTTACCCAATCACCCCACTCCTTGCAGTCCCCCTCTTCCTCTAGCTGATCTAGTTTAACTTTTAGCCTCAAAATCTCCTTACTGGAATTAGTACCCAAACCTGAACTCCATTTTAGCAACGCCACTCTTACTCTGCTGATTCTTTCTGAAATTGCCTCCAAAGCAGAGCCTGCCACTTCAAAGTTCCAAGCTCTTTCCACCACCTGCAAAAAGTCTGCTTTCTCCACCCATCTGGCATCAAAATAAAATCTTCTTTTCTTTTTTTGATTGGGATCAGGCACCAAATTCTTCAAAATAACCATACTTTGGTCAGAGGATATTGTTGAAATGTTATTAATTTGGGCCAAAGGATATTGCATAGCCCACTCTGGGGAAACAAAAAATCTATCCAACTTCTCCTCAACAAACTCCCTCCCTCTCCTAAGATTACTCCATGTAAATTTATGACCAAAAGAAGGTAATTCCACTCCCCCAATCCCAGAAACAAAATGCCTAAACTGGGAGAAACTACTAAAATCTCTCACCTTCCCCCCTCTTTTCTCATGATGGTGGAGGATGTCATTAAAATCACCTCCCACAAACCACAACCTTCCCCATGTAAGACTATGTCTAAGCAAAATATTCCACTGCAAATTCCTTTCTCTTGGGTCAGTACTGGCATAGACAAAAGCAGCCCAAAGCTTTCAGTACTATTACTCCAAGAAAAATTAACTTCTAAGCAAAATCCTAAATCATTAATACATATATATTAATATCAGTAGACCAAAATAAAAGCATACCACCTTTGGTGCCTAGGGGTTTACTGTAAAACCACCTATCACCAAGCTTGAGTTTTTTACAAACTAAACTAACAAATTTTTCTTTTTTTTTTTGTTTCTGAAAGAAAAACAAAATTGGGGAGGTGGTTCCTCAGAGCCTCTTTAAAATAAATTATCTATCATATTAATTGGAAAATAATAAAATTATTTATCAATTAAATAATTTTATTTGTCAAGTCCATTGTATAATATGAATTAGAAAAATTATTATATTTACAAAGTGTAAATAGTATAAGACACAAGTGTCATTTTAAATTTATATTAAATAAATTTTATTTTTTGTTTTTCCAAAAAAAAAATAGGTATTATATTTGTTTAGGACCCATGTAATATATGTGTTCTATTGACACATTTTGTTGGACATGTATTCAATAATGAGTAACACATTAACTTAGTGTGTATTTGTTTATGAATAAACTCAATCAATATTCAAAATCTAACTTAACTTTAACTAACCTCATTATTCTTAACTAGTATGTAGTATCTGCGATGCACGGGTCAATAATTATAAATTACATATATTAAAGCAATGAAGGATATTGATTAGTATAAAAATAGTTATGAATATTAATATTTTTTTTTCTTTTATTTTATAGTATGTAATAATTTGACATATGATTTATATGTTTGTTTCACCCGTTATAAAATAACTATCATTTTAGAGTTCCTGTTTAGAATCAAGAATAATGAAAATTTAACATATTCAAACATAGTTATAAATAATACTAATATACCACTTCTCTATCTCTCTTGATAACCCGAACCAGATATTTGGAGATGGTTGTATGGATGGGATTTTTGGGCCGAAAGACATGTTTGAGTCCCAGGGTGCTTATGCACCTGAGGTAT